CCTTTTATAGGGGGGATGTCAGAGACCCTTTCTCCCCATCCTGGAACTTGTCATAACTGGATTGGCTTCCAAGCACCTCTGCCTACCAAAACTTCTTGCTGTGATTTACGTGCACTTTTTCCTGTTTGTTCACTTGTCCTTGATGTACTTTTTAAGGCCTTAACTTTTAGGTGGTCTGCTAGTTGCCAAGGGAGTGCCTTATCCTTGGGTTAGAGTTGGGGTGGGGGGTGGATTCTGTTGGACTCTCTGTTGACCCTAGAGTGAATACACATGCATGTCTGTGCCTATTAGTGCATAGGTGTGAATACATTCTGCCTTAACATTAGCCCTCCCTTTGTTTTCTCTGTCTTCTGTTGGAGGTAGGGTGGTTTATCACTTGTGTCCTGCCTATCAGCTCTTTTTCTGATCTCTTGGTTCAAGTCCCAGCGTCATTTGGGGTCTTTATCTGGTTTCTCTCTCTTTCTCTGTCCCTATCCTTGATCTATTTCCGAAGGGAATTTCTCTAGGAAAGTTTGTTTTTTGACTCCTTCTAGTCAGGATTAGCTAGAAGACCTAATGAGGCTCTATTCTATTTTTTTCCCTCTCTATCTATAGACTCCTGAATCTACAATTTCTTTTTTTTTTTTTTTTTTCTTTTTTTTTTTTTTTTGACAGAACCGGGGCTTGAACTCAGGCCCTTGAGCTTGCCAGGGAAGCGCTTATTCTACTGAGCCATCTCTCCAACGCTATGTTAATTTTATCTAATGTAAATTTCATCACAATAAAAATGAAAAGTGTTAGCTGTCTAATATGCACTCTTATGTTTCAGATATTGGGATTTGAACTCAGGGCAGTTTTACCACTAAGCTACATCCTCAGCCATTTCTGCTCTATTTTAATATTACTGAGGCATGGTCTCACTAGGTTGGCCAGGCTGAACTGAACTTGCCATCCTCCTGCCTCAGCCTTCCCAGTAGCTGGGACTATAGGCATGCACTTTGTGCCCCATATTCTCACTTCCAAAGCCAGTTGCATTGATCGTGGCAGTTAAATAGCATTCATTTACTAAAGACACAGTGACTGTGCTTACAAATCTGCAGTTATTATGGTGAGAGTGCACAATATAGAAACAGCAATGAAGTATCACAGCTACTCGGCACAGTGACTGTGCTTATATGCATGTAATCCCAGCCCGCTGGGAAGCTGAGGTAGGAAGACCACAAGTTGGAGTCCAGCTTGGGCAATTTAGTGACTTAGCAAGACCCTGTCTCAAGAAAGGGGTGGGTCTGAGGGCTTAGCTATATTCCTGTAACTCAGTGCAAAGGTCCCAGTGCTGAAAAAAGGGAGAAGGATCACAGCCAGTGGCAGACTGGAAGAAGGCATGCAGGGAGGTCAGGTACGGGCTCCTGTTGTCCTCTCTAGAGAGACCACGGAGACTGCACTTCCTATCACAGCCCAGGAGCGTCCAGTGATACACAGAAAACTCAAAATTAGTGCGATTGCTCTCAGGACTGAGGAGCTGATACTGACTGCTCTGAAACAGTTGGCAGCACTCAGTGGCTGTGTTTCTGGCTTTGGCCAGGATCAGTGCCTCGGGCTGCTGGAATTAATCCTCACAGACAAGGTGAAGGCTGTCTTGTTGTGGTGTGCTGAAGGACACTGCAGATTTAGCCCATGGCCTTCACCCAAGCTACATCCCCAGTCCTCTTCATATTTTGAGACAGAGTTTTGATAAAAGTTGTCCAGCCTGGAATCAGATGGGATCCTCCCACTTCATCCTCCCAGAGTGCTGGGGTTACTGGCATGCACCACCACACCCAGCTGCACACAGATACTTTGAAAGCTGCTTTTCTGTGCTGCCTTTAGTCTTCCTAAAGTCAGACGTCTCTGTTGCCTTTAACTCTTCCTCCTATGCTGTATTTTCCCTCATTTTGCTATCCTTTCACTGTATGCCCTCTAATTTTTTAATACTCAAGCAGAGATTCTGAATTGGTACTCTAGAGCACCCTTGTAATCCCAGCACCTGATAGACTGAGGCAGGAGGATCCTGAGGATTATATGTAGCCTAAACTACACAGCAAAATCCTATCTCAAAAAACCGAAGAGTCCAGTGCTCTAGCTATAGCAAGACTGTCTACTCAACGCGTTTCTCTTACTGACTAGGACTTTTGTTTCACTGCCACCAATCCTGACCCTCCCTGCCACCAATCCTGACCCTCCTCTGGTACTCTTTTTTTGTTGTTGTTTATAGTATTAACATCTAGCTTAATACTCTGGGTGGAAATAGAATATGCTCACTAGTTGTTTCTCCCTGTCTTGTATCTACCTAGTCCCTGAGTCTTCCGCAGGGAGGCCAAGTGAGAAAACTGCAGACAGGCCTGTGTGTAAATGCCACGCTGTGTCATTTGACCAGCTCACTAGCCCTCACCAGGCCCTAGTTTCCACAACTGTAATGAGGATAATATTGCCTATCTTGTGGTTTACACTGCATAGAATGTCAAAGAGCATGACTTCAAAACCTCTCTGCCACATTAGGTATGCATTCAAAAGAAAATCAGTAAAAAGACAGACCATGGGCCGGCCAGATAGCTCAGCAGACTAAAGCACCTGCTTAGGCAGGTGCAGTGACTGGGGTTCAATCCCTGGCATGCCATGCCTGCCCTGCCCCCAGGGTGGCGGAGACTGGGCATGGTGCTGCTTACCTATAATCCCAGCACTGGGTAGGCTGCAAATAGGAGGATCACTATGAGTCCTATCTGCATAGTGAGGCCCTGTACCAAATACATAAAACAAACAAACAAAACATTATTTTCGTTTTGGTTTTCTTTCTTTTTGTAGTACATATTTGGAATAAATGATGACTCCGTTCCTCACAGAGAGAAATGTCATTGCAGAAGTTGTTTTTTGGTGGGGTTTTTTGGTGGCTCCAGATTGCCTCCAGCACTGGTCTGGGTTGCCTTGAGTATCTGGGAATTGAACCACCGCTCCCAGAGACTGACTGCTTCGTTTAAGCAGGCACTTAAACAACTGAGCTAATGTGCGGGCCCTCCTAAAGTGCACTTAAAGCCAGAGTGTTTGTTTTTGTTTTTTTTTTTCCAGAACCGGGGATTGAACTCAGGACCTTATGCTTGCCATGCAAGTGCTTATTCTACTGAGCCATTTCCCCGGCCCCTAAAATAATTAAATTTTTTTTTTTTTTTTTTTTCCGCAGAACCAGGGATTGAACTCAGGTCCTTGCGCTTGCCAGGGAAGTGCTTATTCCACTGAGTCATCTCCCTGGCCCTGAGAAACGTCACTGAAAACAGCTGTTGGGGTTGCATCCATCAGGAGTCATAGTGTTAGCAGCTTGGGAGAAATCCTTTTCTTGGTGTAGTATAGTCGCCTAATAACTCTGAAATGGGTTTGTTTTTATCCAGCAGACACTGCCAATCGTGTAGCTGCCAGTTTCCTTTTTCACACTGCCTGATAGTAAACAGAGACAAATTTGTAGCCCACCCATAATAGCCATAGTTATAAAAGATGGTATGCATGAAAGAAACAAAAAGTTTTTTAAATGAAGTGGATTAATGAGTTACAAGCATATACGCTGCAACAAAGGTTGAAGGCTTACCTAAAAATACCTATATAAGGGAATGGCTCTCGAGGACAATTTGCCCCCTGGGGACTTCTTTCTTTTCTTTCTGAGACAGTAGCTTACTGTGTTCATTCAGGTCTTGAACTCAGGGCAAGCCTCTTGCCTCAGCCTCCCAAGTGCTAGGATTACAGGCACGCACCACTATGCTCAGCCGCTTAGGGGACATTTTGGTTTCATCTGGGGTTATGTGGTCACGGGTGACATTCACTGAACTGTTCAGCCCCCACCACAGAGAATTATCCGGCCCCAAAGTCAGCAATGCTAAGGCCAGGAAACACCGCTGTGGACAGGACTATGCAGGCTATAGTTCCAGAGGCCAGCGCTCTGGACGCATCCTGGTGCTTTAGTTAGATACATTCGTGTCTTACTCGTTTGTTCTGCTGTAACAAGCCTGACTGTAACAAGCCTGACTGGTTCATGTCACTTCCTCACAGTTCTAGAGGCTGCAAAGTGCAAGAGCAAGGTAACAGCAGATTCACTGTCCACAGTCCTTATGCATGTCTCCATGCAGCAGAGAAGAGGACCATTGTGTCCTCCCAGGGCAAGGCCATACCCCCCCTCCCACCCTTAGTGGGGCGCTAGCGTTCCGGGTTCCCTGGCTCCTCACAGACCTGGCCTCTTAGTGCGGCATAGACTTTGCACAGAACCACAGGGCAAGTGCAGTTTGGCTGCCTGTTTTGCAAGGACTGTTCCAAGTTGGAGACTTGAGCATCCTTCTGCAGAATTTGTCCTCAGCCACATGATCCTGAAAGCAGTCCCTTGAAATCTATATTGTGATTAAAGTTAAAGCACCTGCAAGCAGGTACAGGGGCAGGGGCTCAATCCCCGGGCCTGCCATGCCAGCCCCGCCCCAGGGCATGCTGAGACCGCAATTGAGACTGGGTGTGGTGGTGTGCCCCTGTAATCCCAGCTCTTGGGAAGCTGTAAGCAGGCAGATCACTGAGTCTGGTCAAGTAGTGAGACTCTGAACACCCTTTAGACCCTTCCCTAAAAATACAAAAAAAAAAAACAAAAAAAAAAAACCCTATATTGTACCACTCAGTCACAACTTTAGACAGACAAAACTAGGGGGAAAATTGCTTTTTAAAAATTTGAACTGTAGGGCCGGAGAGATGGCTCAGTAGAATAAGCGCTTGCCTGAGTTCAATCCTCGGTTCTGGAAAAAAAAAAAAAAAAAAATACTCCATCTTGCTTCAAACAGATACCTTATCCGATTGTTCTGGCTACTTTTTGAGACCCTTTTTGACCCTTCCCTAAAATACCAAAAAAAAAAAAAAAAAAAAAAAAAATTTGAACTGTAAAGCATAAATTTGAACTACAGTGTTTTGAATGTTTGAGTTGGCAATACAGTAAAAATGAGACTGTTCTTGTCCTTCTGTCTTGGCAGGCTTTCACAGAAACAATGTTTGCCAGTAAAGCTCCTGTGGAGGAAGCCTTCCTCTATGCCAAGGTGAGCAGGGACAGGAGCCACATGGGCTCTGCTGGTGGGCAGCAGCTCTCGGGCCTCACGCCCAACCTCGGAGCCCCTCTGCTTTGCATGTATTCTTGGCGTTAGCTCAGTGTGAGAGTCTAAAGTAGGCACTGCTACACTTACAAGAAGAAAATTGAGAAGCAGAGCAAATGAAAGAAAGGCGAAAGAAAAAGCAAGCAAGCAAGCAAGCAAGCTGGCCAGATAGCTCAGCGGAGTAAAGCACCTGCTTAGGCAGAGCACAGTGGCAGGGGTTCAATCCCCGGCACGCTGTGCTGGCCCTGTGGGACGCGTTAAGATGGTGATTGAATTAATAAAAAAAAGAAAAAGGGAAAACGGGTGTGGGGAGAAGCAAGGAGATAGCTCAGTAGAATAAGCACTTCCCTGGCAAGCTCAAGGGCCTAAGTTCAATCCCCGGTTCCACCAAAAAAAAAAAAAAAAAAAAAGAAGAAGAAGAAGAAGAAGAAGAAGAAGAAGAAAAGAAAAACTGGAAAACAAAAAAAAAGAAAGAAGAAGATGGTGATTGAGACTGGGTGTGATGACACACGCCTGTAATCCCAGTGCTTGGGAGGCTGAAAACAGGAGGATCACTATGAGTCCAATCTGTGTAGTGAGACCCTGTAGACCCTGTACTAAAATACATTTAATAAATAAATAAAATAAAATTTTTAAAAAGGCTGAACGGTGTAAGATGAGAGCAGCAGCGTTTTGGTAAATGTGAAGGAAGACGGGTCTGCAGCTGCACTTGGCTAGTGCAGATCAGCCACTCTGCAGCCCGCCCAGCAACCTGGCGTCCACGCACTTGTCCAGAGCATTCAGGTTAGCACGCCTTTGAAAAGTTGAAATCAGTAGTTTTTTTTTTTTTGGGGGGGGTGCATTTTAGATCCACATAATAATAACTTTCGTTGTTGGGAATTTGTACCTGTACATCATACATCTTGCTTTTTTTTTTTTTTAATTCTCCTTTCCTTCAACTCCTCCTCCCCTCCTTATTTACAAAAGCTTTGTTTTCACTTTTTCCTTCTTTTTTTTTCTTTTCACTTCCCCTTTTTCTTTCCTCTACTCTTTCTTCTTCCCCTTCTCATTTGAACACATTTCCCAATATCTTTTAAGCATTTTGGTCCTTATTTACACTTTTGATTTCTCACACCAGAGAAACAGTGTGGTATTTAAACATGTGTGTCTGATTTATTTCACTTAGGAGTGTGGTCTCAAGGTGCATCCATTTAGCGAGAAATGTCTCAAGCTTATCCTTTATGGCAGAGTAGTACTCCACTGTATAAAGAAAAATGCATCTTCTTTATCCATTCATCAATTGATGGCCATTTGGGCTGTTTCCAAGATTTAGCTCTTACAAACTGTGTCCCTATAAACATAGGTGTGCATATTTCACTGTGGCATGATGCTTTTAATTCCTTGGTTTTTTTTGGGGGGGCGAGTGTAAAGTCTCACTGTGCAGCTTGGACTCTTGATCCTCCTGTCTCAGCCTCCCCCAGCATTGAGATTACAGGTGTGTGCCACCACACCCAGTTTCAGTGGGCAGCTTGGCATGGGGCTGGCACAGCATGCAGTACCAAGGATCGAACGTAGGTCCTTGCACTTGCCAGGCAGGCACGTAGGCTGCCAAGCTATCTCCCTGGCCCTGCTTTTAATTCTTTTGGGAAGATAACTGAAGGGAGAAATAGATAGATCAAATGGAACCTCTTAAATCCTAGTTTTTAGAGGAATCTCCACACTGATTTCCAGTGATTGGACCAATCTCCTCTCCCACCAACAGTGCAGAAGGCTTCCTTTTTCCCCACAGACCCTCCAGCATTTGTAACTGTGATTTCTCGATAATAGCCATTGTTTCTGGAGTGACATGAAATCTCATTGTTTTAATTTGTATATCTTGAATAACTAATGATGTGAAACTTTTTATGTATTTAATGTTTCTACTTCTTTATCTGAGAAGTGTGTATTTATCTCAGATGCCCATTTTTGGGTTGGGCCTGAAATTGAGGGGGAACTCTGATTTTTTTTTTTTAAATTTTATTTTTTAATTCTTTATATAGGGGCTGGGGAGATGGCTCAGTGGAATAAGCGCTTCCCTGGCAAACACAAGGGCCTGAGTTCAATCCCCGGTTCCACAAAAAAATAAATAAATAAATAAATAAAATTCTTTATATATGTTAGGCATTAGTCATTTGTCTATGGAACTACCTGCAGAAAATTTTTAGCATTGTCTGTTCACTTGGTTGGTGGTTTTTCTTGCTGTGCAAAAGCTTTTTTTATTTTATTATTATTTTTTAATATATTTGGTACAGGGTCTACAGGGTCTCACTACGTAGATTGGACTCATAGTGATTCTCCTGTTTTCAGCCTCCTGAGTGCTGGGATTACAGGTATGCACCACCACACCCAGTCTCAATAATCCCATTTCAGCATGCCCCGGAGGCAGGGCCAGCACAGCATGCTGGGGATCAAGCCCAGCCTCTGCTCTGCCTAAGCAGGCGCTTTAGTCCACTGAGCTATCTGGCCGGCCCTGCAAAAGCCTTTTAATAAGATGAGATCCCAGTAGCTGACTCTTTGTGATAGATCCTATGTGATTGGGGTTTTGTTCATAAAGTCTTTGCCTATACCAAAGTTTTCAAGTGTTGTACCTATTCTTCCAGCAGATTTAGTGTTTCTGTTTTAATATGAAATTAGTAGGGGAAAAAAAAAAAAAAAGAAATTAGTAGGGCCGGGGAGATGGTTCAGTGGAATAAGCACTTGCCTGGCAAGTGCAAGATCCTGAGTTCAATTCTCGGTACTGCAAAAAGATAAACTAAATTGGTAATCTAGAGCTAGTGTCAAAAGTGAGACCCATATTTTGTTGTTTAGCTAAGTAAGAATAAACAGTAGCCCTCCTTGGAGATTTTCTATGTCCTCTTCTGGACTGAATTTGAAAGTCATAGGAATTTGGAAAATACTCAGAAGAGAATAGAGTTAATAATAAAGTTAACAGGACTGGGGGGAATAACAGTGCATGCAGACTGTAGATACGTAGCACACAGCATGGGAAATAGATGTGTGAAGAGCAGCATTAGGGTTGGGTTGGACACAGCGTGCAGTGCTTGGCTTCCAGCAAGCGCTGCTACGGAGGCAGAGGCTGTGAAGCTCGCCTGGCTGGAAGAGATGCAGAATGCGTTGCTCACACCTCGCTGTTCTCCACAGTTTGAGTTTGAATGTCGGGCGCGCGGGGCAGACATCCTGGCCTACCCACCTGTGGTTGCTGGCGGGAACCGGGCGAACACTTTGCACTACGTGAAAAATAATCAGCTCATCAAGGTATGCAACATGCCTTTCAGATGCTCCAGCAAAAAGCTCACTAATCTGATTTTACAAATCAACTCATTTAAAAAGCACATGTAGGGGGTGGGGAGATGGCCCAGTAGAATAAGCACTTGCCTGGCAAGTGCTAGATCCTGAGTTCAATTGCCAGTTCTGCAAAAAAAAAATAAAATAAAAAGCACATGTATTAACTTGGGCATAGTGGCCCATGCCTGTAATCCCAGCACTCAGGAGGCTGAGGCAGAAGGATTGCTGTGAGTTTGAGGCCAGCCTGGGCTACATAGTTCAAGATCAGTCAAAACTACATAGTGATAGATTGTCTCAAAAAAATAAAATACAAATAAATAAATAAATAAATAAAATTAAAAA